CATATTTTTTTTTTTTTTTGCGGAACTGGGATTTGAACTCAGGCCCTTGTGCTTGCCAGGGAAATGCTTATTCCACTGAGCCATCTCCTCGGCCCCTCCAGCCATATTCTTTATGGGGTATAGGATCAGTCAGGGACTGAGTTCAGCCTCAGCTGGAGTAAGGAGGTAGTAAAATCCTGTCAGCTCAGTGTAACTGGGAAAGTCTGGGGACAGAAGGAAAAGAGGGAGTCAGGGGGGTAGGGCCTGCAGGCAGCTAGGAGAGATGAAGGATGTGGGATGCAGAGGGCTAGGAGCAGCAGAGCTGTTTCCCGACTCTGCGACCTGGGCTTCAGCCTCCCCATCTTAATGTGGGGAGGGCAGCAGAGGCTAGAAAATTCTGGCTCTTCAAGAGACAGCAGGGCAGGCCTGGCTGCACATGCCCCACTCCTACCCAGAGAAGACAGCCCTTCCTCCTCCTGGCTCCCCCAGAGCCTCAGGCCAGAGGGTCTAGGGCCCTGAGAAACTACTGTGGCCAACTCTATCCCAGTTGTGTCCTCCAAGTCTAGATTGGCCCCTAAAGCAGCTGGGGGGATAATCGCCACCTCTTCCTTGTCACTGGGGAGTCTCAAGTCCCAAAGGTGCTTGCCTCTAAGACACTACTGCAAGCCTTAACCTCCTGGTGGAATTTCTGGCACCCTTTAAAGAAGGGCTGCTGTTGTTTTGTTTTCTGGCTCTGGCAACTGAACCTAGGCTCTTTGCACTGGGCCACATCCCCAGACCAAATTTTGTGTGTGTGTTTTTGAGACAGGGTCTCATTATGCAGTTCAGGCTGGCCTTGAACTCACGAGATAGCCCAGGCTGACCTCAAATTCATGGTGATTCTCCTGCCTCAGCCTCCAATCTCAGCCTGCTGAGATTACAGGCATGTAACACAGTGCCAGACTGAAATTTTTTATCATCTTTTTTTATCAGCAGCAGTGCTGGAGACTGAACCCAGGCCTGTGCAGGCTAGGCAAGTGCTCTACCGCTGAACACATCCCCAGCCACCACAGTCTTTCTATTTTTCAGACAGGGTCTCACAAAGTCACCAGATTGCCCTGGCTGAGGCAAGCTGTCACTATGCACTCCAGGGTGCCCTTGAATGCTGTCTGCCTTTCCAGCAGCTGGGGTTACAGGTACTCACGACCACAGTCAGCTCCTGGAGGCCTTTTTCCTTTCTTTTTTAGTATATAGGAATCAAACCCAGAGGTATGCTACCACTGAGCATCTTTTTTCCCCCCAGTACCAGGGATTGAACTCAGGACCTTGTGCTTGCCAGGCAAGCGCTTATTCTACTGAGCTATCTCCCTGGCCCAGCATCTTTTATTTTTAAATTTTGAGATAGGGTCTAAGTAGCCCCTGGCCTCCAAGATGCTACCCTGCTGCCTCAGCCTGAGTAGCTGAGATTATGGGCCTGAGTCCCCATCCTTGCTCCCTTGGCCTCTGACACAGCACTGAGGCGGCTGCCTCCTAGGGCTGAGAAGAGGCGGGACATCTGGGCCCAGAGGTTCTTCTTGAACATCATGCCCAGGACTGACTAAATTATTTAGGGGCTCACTGCAGAATGAAAATGCAAGCCAGTTCACAAGCTAAGACCTTAAAGTGGCAGGAGTATAGCGCTAAACTGGGCACTGCGGGCAGCCCCACAATGTCCACCTGAATGGGCAGCCCCTGAATGTGCCCACGGAGCACCCGCATGCTCTTCTGGCCTCTCCACAAGGACTGCCCTCGGCTAACAGAGACCTCCTCCCTCCTGGCTGGCTCCCAGTTCTGCCTCAGCCGGTGGCCAGAGTGGGTGGCCAACTAAGTTCTGAAGTAGCCCTGGGGCTGGGCCCTGAGGGGCTGAGAATACAGCCCTAGCTTGGACGTGGCCAGCTCCAGTGTCACCTCTTACCTCTTGGCTTTGGGAAAGATAGGTGAGGGATCAATTCTCCAACCACAGCAGAGCTATTCGTTTTGCAGTAGGAGTGTCTAGATTAGTCCCTGAGTTAAACCAAGATCACTGGGGGAGGCACAGGGAAGCTAGGGCTTGACCCTGTGTCCTAGGACCTGCGGCCTAGGCTCCCAGCCAGGCTCCTCCCCTTCACTAGGCCTACACACAATGCACTACTGCTCAGACATCCAGGGCTGGCAGCTGGCCTGTGAGTCTGTCTCGGCCTCCTGCCCAGCCATATTCTTTATGGGGTGTAGGACCAGCCAGGGACTGAGCTCAGCCTCAAGTGGAGTAAGGAGGTGCGAAAATCAGGCCCTCCTCCAGCCCAGATTCGGGGAAGGCAGACAAGCCCAGGGCCAGTGCCCAGGGTGGACAGGCAGGCAGTACATATGGCCATGCAGCTGCTCAGATGTGCAGGCCAGGATGGAAGGGCTATGCACTGTGACAAGGAGCCTCCTGTGAACGCCAGGGGCAGGAGGGGCCAGTGTGTGGTCACATGTGAGTGTGGCCTGTGTAAAGTGGCTGAGCTACCTTCTCAGAAGGCACCGCTGTGGGTCAGCTGGCGTGGAGATCACTGTATTGAGGTTCCCAGGACCTCCCAGCTGGGTCAGACTCAGGCCAGGGCTCCATCCCTCGGGTGGCAGGGTATCCTAAGGATACTAACCCCTGCCCCTGCTTTAATGGACCTTTCCCAGTGTCTGGTTGATGAGCCAGGGTTGACACAGGCTGGCCTGCTCCTGGCCTCTCAGACCTTCCAAGAGGCCAAGCTGCCTCAGGCCAGCTCATAGGAGACCTGACCAGGTCTGCTCCTGGCCTTGGCCTTGGTGCTTTGTAACTCCTAGACTGGCAGGGCCTCTGTCCTAGGCATAGCCTGGCAATCCTGTGATAAGGAAAGTCCCAGAGTGGAGGCCATGCTTCCTGGGCACTCAGGGGGACCTCATCTCTGTGCAACTGGGTAACAGGCTGGCCAAAAGGACGTGGGCAGAACAAGCCCTATCCTGACCCTGATCCACAGATGCCACCTAGTAACCTTTAATTTGCCGTCATTCCTTGTCTGTTGACAGGATATGGGGACCCTGGGGCGAGCTGAGGAGATGCCAAGGTCTCTGATCAGGCCTTTACTTTCTCTTTTCCTGAGGTGAGACATACACAAGAGAAAAACACTTCCACAGAGCTGGGCCACTGGGATTCTAAGGCTTATCTGCTACAGTGGATGGTGTCACCTCAACTAAGAAGGTTCTGTCAGAGCTGCCTGAGATCCAGGACACTGCTGAGCCCCCTTCACCCTCCATGGGTGCAGCAAAAGGGGGAAGGGCAGCAGGAGGTGGAGAAACGTCTGAATTCTGGGGCCCTGTGCCCCTGCCTCACTTCTACAAGTTCCTTTAGGGAGGTGCTTCTGGGGTAGGGGACCCTTGCCTGCCAGGTCTCAGGATGGGACCCACATGCATTCCCTGGCTCAGGTTCAAGGTCCTGCCCTCCATGTGAGGTCACCTGAGGGTTGGGTGTGGAGGCCACAGGTGCCCACTCATGACACCATCACCTCTCAGTCCGGGGTCTTCTCTGCGGGCGTGGGAAGCAGGCCAGCTGCTACCTGGTCCTGGTGCCATAGCTGTTCAGCAAGGCCATTGAGCACATGGGCAACATCAGCCAGCCCGGCCCGGCCATCCAGGGTGTGCCCATCTGCTAGCCGCCGGCCTGGCACGCTCTTCACCCGCAGCAGAGGCAGCTCCCAGGCCTGTCGGAAGGTGGTGAGGTCCCGCTCAGGTACGTCCGTGTGCATGTACTGGTCAAATCTGGAAGGAGCCAGTCAAGGATCCCAACCAGGCGTCTCCACTGCCTGTGCCACCAGGGCCCCACACCCAGGGACTAGGGTGGCCACACAGCACCTTTTATGAAAAAGCCCACATCTGGACCCCCCAGCTGGACAGAGGCAGGGTCTCTGATCCTCTTGCTCTGTGTTTGTCAGAGGCGGCCTCTGATGTCCCAGGGCTACCCAAAGGATACTTGGAGCCAATGACCATCCTGACGACACTAGGTGCCTCGCCTGCTACACGGGCCAGCTGTCCAGGCAGGTCTTCGAAGGAGGCACGGTCAGTGAAGGAGAAGAGGAAGAGGAAGGCATCCGAGTTCTCCTGGCAAGCCTAGGGATGGATGGGCCGGTTCCTGGCAAGTGACCTCAGGGCCACCAGACCAGAATCCTCTAATCAGCCGCAGGGCCCACAGAAGGATAGGTAACAATCTCTTCCTCATAGATAGGGAAACTAAGGCCCAGAGCAGGAAGTGGCTGTCCCAGGGTACAGTTCCGGCTGGGGCTTGTCTCAGTAATGACTCAGGGCTCTACTGCCCCCAACACCACCCAGAGCCCACTTATGCCTCGCCCTGGCCCAGCCCGCTCAGCTCACCGGCAGCATGTGGTCGAACTTTTTGAGTGCAGACTCCCCGCAGTCCCAGAATTCAAAGCGGAACATGACGACCCGGCTGCTAGCCTGCAGCTTGGCTGGCCAGAACACCACAGTGGTTTGGATGCCTGGAGAGGACCATGGTCAGCCACACAGCATGGCAGAGGCGGCAGCGGACAGGACGGGGGAGCGGGAAGGAAATGGGCTCCGGTGCAGCCCCCTTGGATGTGCAACGCATGATCTCTGAGCTGGGAGATGCCTGTCTCGCGCTGGGAACAGAGCTTCGCCTGAAGGAGCCCCTGGGGCACTGGTGGGACAGGGGCCTGTGTGGCTTTTCAAGGTCACAGAGGAAGTAGGAAGTTGGGGACAGACCCCACCTGGTGTGGTGAGTGCCTGACCTTCTGGAGAAGGCCCCCAAGGACAGCACTGGGTCGGGCCACTCACCAGGGGTCTCATGGTGCACGGTGGGCACCTCCAGTCCAGCCAGCTTGGCCACCAGTGCAGTCTTCCCCACACCGCTCTTCCCAGACACAAAGATCTTGTAGCTGGCAGTGTCAATGGCCACAGGTGGGGACAGCAGTGGCCGCTCAAGCAGCCCTGGGCAGGGAGGAACCAGGCAGTCAGAGAGCCAGTCCGAAACTTACCCAGTGGGCCTGGGATGGATGACATTATCTTTTTTTTTT